TTAGCATACTGAAATCTAAATGAATTCAGATAGGGAGTTCACTTTATTTAGTTAGGGAAGGAGTTGTAATAGAAAAAGTTAGCTTTTCCAATCCTTGATAAATTTGACTATGATCTACTTTTTGTATTTCATATGTCTACCTTTTATCAAACACTCTCATTATACTAGAATATATTTTATTAATAGGGGACATTATTAGAACATGTCCAAGTCCTTTCCATCTTCCTTTTAGACTTCTAAATTTCTCTGCCACTAAACACTTCCATTGGGGTTAATGCATTTGTCACCAAACTTTCAAAGACCTGTCGGACAACTTCATGTTTCTGTGATCCACTTTGCTCATTGTTCATGTCTAGATTTTCAAAGAGGAAAATAATATATATATATATATATAATAATAATAAATGAAACAACCACCATAAATTATGGGTGGGCATTCGTTGGGTTGGGTTGGGTTCGGGTCAAGTTGGCTCTACATAAAATCAAATCAAACTAAACCTTAAATCCCATCAAGTTGGCATTACATAATAAGAAATTTTGTGTCTACCCGAGTCCGACTCAAAAAATAATTATAAATCTAAAGTCCACCCATAGGACTGTAGATTAAAAAAAAAATTAAAATATTCCATAATTAATCTTAATCACACATTATATTTTTTAAATAAATATACTAAAATTATTATAAATTGAAGAATTTTGTGTATAAATTGAAAGATTTTTTAAATAAATACAATCACACATTACCAAAAATGTGAGTTTTAATAAATTCAACAAAAATAAAATGTAGATTCCAACAAAAAAATATATATTTTGATATATTATAATTAATTAATTTAATAGTAAGCAGGATCGGGCTGAGTTGAGAGTATAAATCTCAAGTTCAACTCATTAATATATCGGGCTGAATGTGAGCTCAACCTGTTCTTATGAACTAAAACAATATTTCTAAATTCTAAAAAAAAAATAAGATTGGACTGAATAGACCAACGGGCCGATCCCCACTCCTACCACAAACTATATGGGATTTTAGTATGCTCAACTAATTCTCGAGCACTCTGAAATAAAATAAATAAACAAAATCTCAAGCACTTGAACCCTCCTAAAAGGATTATCCCAAGACAATTAGAGACAGTAATTTACCTCTGCTCTGCTTCAATTAAGAAGTATTTCCTTCCTTACTCCTTTTGATTATATTTATTAATATATATATATATATATATAGTACGTTAAATGAGTGTGCACATTACTGTATCTAAGTAATGCGCAATTGAAATTATTATTGAGATCGTGGGTGAGATGAGAATTGAAAGAATCTCTATGTACTGGATAGAAATTGTTGGTTTATTGAATTTCTGTTTTGATGAAATTATGTTGTTTTTGTAAAAAAATAAAAATAAAAAAAAAATCTTTACATAAAAATTGTGACAAAAATTTAACTAATCAAGTAAGTTATGTGTTTTGGGAAGAATATAAAAAGTCAAAAATCAGCTTTTAACATATTTTGGATGATATCATATTTCTACTTTTTTACACGTTTTTTCAAAAAAAAAGTAAAAAAAAAAAATTCAAAAAATCAATTTTTAACCAACTTTCCAAAATTTCTCTCTTTAACCGAGTGTTTCTCTCTCTACCTCTTTTTCTTAGGGTTTCTTGAGTACAAAGCTACTTGGGGAGAGGGAAGGGGCTTCGGCCTCTGGCCACCTCTCTCCTCTCCCCCTTTTTTTTCTTTCTTGGTTTTGCTAAATGAATCTTGGGAGTTTTCTTCCCAATCTCTCTCTTTGTGAGGTTTTTCTTCCCCCCATGGTGGAAGCTTGCTGGGTTTCTCGTCCTCCATACCACTGGTGTGGATCTACCTTATCTCTCCTTTTCCGCTACTCGCCTAGCCATCACCAGTCCCACCTCCAAATCTATTACGGATCTGGCCCATCTCCACGAATCTAGTTGGCTCCGGCTCAAGGTTGAGTTTTCTAGTTATTGTTTTTGTTTTGATTTGGTTTTGTTTATGGAATCTATCAATGCTTGATGTAGCTTACCCATTTGTAGTTGTAACCTATCATCTATCTTTAGACATGCTCTACAGCCAATTGATTGGCCTCTACTTTGTAATATGAGTACCAGTATGAGTACGAGTTGTGCATCTGGATTTTTTCACAAATCATGTGTGTTTTCTTGATTTTATCTTTTCTATATTTGGTGTAAGTTTATCTATTTGGATGATTTCCTCTTTATATATGCCGTTAGTTTCATCAATGGAAATTTCTTTCTGATCCAAAAAAAGAAAAAAAAGAAAAAGAAAAAGAAAAGTGAGTTGTGTGTTTAATATAATTTATTTATTTTAAATATTAAAATAAACTATTAAATATTATATAACATATATATATATATATATGTATGTATATATATCAACACTTATCAATCATTATCCATAGTGAATTATATCATCCGTCACTTTATTAATATCATTATTCTTCTTCCTTTATTTATTTTTTATTTTTATTTTTTTGTTGATTGACTTAGAGCATCTCCAATGGCAAATTATTTGAGTTGCCATTGCCAAAATTTGACAAGAGTTCTAAAAAATGTTGCTCCAATGGAATGCTATCACCCTTGTCAAATTTGGTAAATGCCATTTCATCTCTCAAATTTGGCAACAAGTTTGGCAATTGCCAAACTTGCCACATCATCCAAATAAACAGAATTTGGCTCCAAAATTTTTGTAATGGTTTATTTTTTTGGTAGGATGAATTACATTTATTTATTTTTTAACTTTTTAATTTATTTTTTATTTTTTATATTTGTCTAGTCAAGTATAATGCATATATATATATTTACAAGCAGTTAAAAAAAGGTCACAAAAAATAAAAAATAAATAAATACTAAAAAATTTATATCCAAATAATACCTACAAATTTGGAGAAAAAATTGATTAAGATTTGCCAAAATAACAGGTGTATCATTGGAATACCATTACTATAATTTGACAAATTACTACTATTCATTGCTAAATTATAGCAATAACAATCGTATTATAGCAAATACCATTAGAGATGCTCTCAGGAACAATTTTGAAACTTGCTAAAAAAAATAAACGTTTTGGCTTTTTAACTTTTTTATACAAAAAAAAAGTCACAAAAAAGTAAACTTTTTTACATAAAAAAGTTACCAAAAAATCAAAAAAACCTAAAAGTCAACTTTTTATCTGAGGAGTCTCAACTTAGGGTGTTTTGGAAGTTTTTGTCACCTCTTTTTTCGATATATATATATATATATACTATTAACATTAGTATATGATAATGACTTCTTTTGAAATATATATATATATATATATAACTACACTATTTTTTACTTTTATTGTCTTTTCTGGACTTTTGTTGAAATTTTTTATTTTTCTCATCGAGCTAAGTCGAGAAACTTAAAACCTTTTGAAATTTTTTAAAAATAGTTCACTAAAAACTAAAAATAACCCCCCCTGCCGTCAAAAAATAAATAAATAAATAATAGAAAAAGAAAAAACCAAATAAGTAAACCCCAAACACCCATACGTCACTAGGCTACAAAAATGTGTATTAGCGTCAACATTCCTAATGTTGCAAAATTAAGTTATTCCAGAATATGGCCGTATGAGTATTGGTAGAATTTTTCATAGTTTTTTATAATATCTAGCATTTGTGTTCATAGATCAAGTTTTTCATGGTTAAAAAATGACATGGAAAATCCTTTAACATCAATAAGACCTCACGCGGCCCCTCTGACAAACCTTAGATTTTGGCGGGAGCCCAGAGAGCTGGGCCTGGGGCTGGGCTTTAAAGATCTTGGCCCAATCCAGGTCAGATTTGTGAGGATGGTATCTACACTACACTCTTGGTAATTAGGAGCATGATTCTAATAGAATGAGGGGTTGTTTGGGATGTCCTAAATAAGTGTATTTTTTTGACTAAAAAGTTGAGGAAAAAACATGGTTGTTTGGATTAACTTTTTGACTTTTTATGGAAAAATGTGTATCAAAAAATTTTATAAATTAAAGATTGTTTGGGATGATCTAAATAAGTATACTTTTTGTTTTTTACGAAAAGATGTGTAGAAAAGTAGAGGTGATGTGATGGAAAAAAGATAAAAAGATGGATTATTTAGGGGATGCCAAACCACCCCTTAGTGTGTAGAGAAAAATTAGGATTGGGAATTATGCAGCTGTAATTTTTTACTTTTAGTGAATAGTGATAACTTTTTAACTTTTTGACTTTTTAACATTTTTTCAACTTGCCAAACTTGAGCTAAATATAATTTAACAAAGAATAAAAAAAAGGTTTGTGAACATGGCAAATGCAAAAATCTCATGCCATGTTCCCAATTCTCTTTTCTCAAATTTATTCCCACTTTACATGGGAAGGAAAATACAAATCATCTCTCATTAAATGATGACATATTGGCTCACACACACAAAAAAATAATAATAATAAATAAATAAAACAAGATTATAATGCTATCTATGTTGATATTGATTAAAAAACTTCTAAAATAAAAAATTACTCGTGTGCAATGATTTTTTTTTTTTTTTTTTTTTCTCCGCTGTAATATTTTTTTTTTTTTTTTTTTGGGTCAATAGATAAGAGTAATTATAAATATAATAACTATTTATATCATTAAACATACCACTAGCTCATAATAATTAGAAAGTCACTTAATAAACCAAGCCTATTAAGTTCACAACAATGCTTCCGACTCCCAGTACGGACGACCCCAACGACCCCCCAGGGCCACGTGTCGGCCTAGAGTTGACTGGAAAAAGAAAAAAAAAACAGTTTTTTTTTACCCAATCACGGATGACCCCCAGCACCCCAGCTGGGGGTCTAAGTCATTTTTGTTAAGTTCAAACCCAACAATCACCGCTAAATACATATACTGTCAAAATGTGGAGAAATAAACTACCCCAAAGTATCAAACTCCTCCATGGAGTTGAACCTGCACCTTGACACCACAAAGGTAGGTTCACTTCAATCGTGTGAGATCAAAATCATCTATTATAAAACTGAATTCACACATAACCTAATAAAATGTTTATCTTACTGTGAACTTCATAATCTAACTTGGAAGGATCCGTGTCCCAAATGAACTAAACATTTGATGTGTACCAAAATCTATTACCATATTTCTGTAATTCCCTTTTGAAGAACTACTGGGTTCATATAAAACAACAAAAACATCTTCACATTAAGTTTTACATTACATCTTACAAGATGGATTAGATGAAAGGCTTTTTAACCATATAGAGTCGGCTACAACTGGTTCATCGTTGTCATTGCGATGCCATGTCCACTGTGCATAGCTTGCATTCACCACTTGTAATTGCGCATGCCCAAAACTGGCCTCCCTGAACACTGATATTGTGGGTTTTGGATTTATATAACTGTAAAAATCACAAGAAAAATTTGTGAAGCAATTAATTAATAATTCTATAAATAAAAATAATAGAAGAAATTTGATAAACTGAACTTAGTTGAACACAAACAAGTGACATATCCACCAAAAGATGAATGAAGAATAAAAAGACTAGGCTATTTTGCAAGTTCCATATCTCATGGCTCCTATATGTTTCTTTTCTTTCTTTTTTTACCTTATTTTATCCAATGTTTGTTTAGTTCTTTCACTTCAACTATGAGGTCTATCTCTACTATCAGATAATAATTTTTCTCATCTTCCATTTAACCACTAGAAATAATTTTTCTCCTTCGAATCCCTTTTTATGTTGTACTCTGATTAAACATAACACAAACCTTACATGATATAAATGTTCAAATCCAAAATATTAGGTATTACTACTCTTGTTCATAATTCCTAGGTATTACTTATCCTCTAATTCTAAAAATCATATCTGACAAACCACACAGGGCCTAGTGGCTATTACAAGCGGTGCATGATCCTTGGTATTGAATTTCTTTGTCTCTCTATCCCAATATACTCCTAATAGCACGATATGGTAAGAATCTCGAGACATAATCATGCAACTAGAAAGAGAGAGATAGAGAGTAATTGAGTTTGAGTACAGAGGATTATAAGTTGTCATTGTTCTCCTAACTCTATGAAGAAAAGAGGTTTAGTTCATTTGGAATGCAGGACTTCGTAATAAATGATTTTTCTTCTGCATAGAATTACATATTGTTCATATTTGTATATGAATGTATAAAATTCAAAATTAATTTCTTTTGTTTTTGATAGGTGAGTTTTATTGCCAAAACGAAATATATATATATACACACGGTGAAATTCAATGCAAGTCCTAAAGAGGGCAACAACACAAAATTGCAATTTAAATTTAACTTCTAGTACTTGTAGAATAACATAAACTGTGACACCAATCACATGCAATTTATCAGAAAGAAACTTACTTTTTGGCGAGGCCTTCGCGGTTGCCACCATCCCCAATGTTGATATATACTGGACCGCAGTTGTCAGTTTTCTCTTTGTAAACACGAGTCTGAAATTCAAAGAGTGACAGAAATAAAAATCAGTTAAGTACTAGAGTTCACAATCCAATCAAATGCTTCATTAAGCGGGAAAAAGTGAAGTAAAATTAGATTACAAACTCAAATCGTGTTTTGTTCGTTAATATCTCATTCATTTGAGCTTAACTCATTATGACTATTTGACTACTGTGAAGCAATAATGAAATTCACGTTAGTGTTCTTCAAGACAACAGCAAAGATGAAAGTTATGCCTCTACGCTACTCAAATTCAGCTTGATTGAAGCTCCTTTGAAATTGGTTTCAAAGATAAATAAACCAAGTATGATCACATTCTAAAAGTTCGTTAAGTGTTCAAATCAATTTTTAACAAGCTGCTTGACTCGATTCGGCTCATTTACAGCTCTAGAATTGCAGACTCTCCCCAAACTTCTACATTTCATCACCCCTATTTCCATCCAAACGGGGGGTAATCAGAGAACACGTCTCAATATTCTAACCATGCAATGGATGGTCCAAATAGCCCATTGGCAGTGCCTTTCTAAATTTTCACTAGTCTTTCTGTGGAGCTTAACTCATTATGACTATATGACTACTGTGAAGCAATAGTGAAATTCACGTTAGTGTTCTTCAAGACAACAGCAAAGATGAAAGTTATGCCTCTACGCTACTCAAATTCAGCTTGATTGAAGCTCCTTTGAAATTGGTTTCAAAGATAAATAAACCAAGTATGATCACATTCTAAAAGTTCTTTAAGTGTTCAAATCAATTTTTAACAAGCTGCTTGACTCGATTCGGCTCATTTACAGCTCTAGAATTGCAGACTCTCCCCAAACTTCTACATTTCATCACCCCTATTTCCATCCAAACGGGGGGTAATCAGAGAACACGTCTCAATATTCTAACCATGCAATGGATGGTCCAAATAGCCCATTGGCAGTGCCTTTCTAAATTTTCACTAGTCTTTCTGATCTGGTTGGTTATTAATTATGAACTTGGCAGAGTAATGAAGATCATATTCGAAAACTCAAGTTTCTTTTTTTTGGGTGGATAAAACTCAAGTTTCACCTAGTTATATTAATGCAATAAAATATCTGTTCCTATTTATATATGCAGCTAGAAACATTTCAAAGATGAGCATAAATTAAGGGTGTCTTTGGATCATAGATTTGTGAATGAATATAAGCTTCTTCTTTTTTTTTTTTCATTTCCATCGCTTTTTCCTTTCTCTTTTCAAATTTCTACCCAAATTTATGATTCAAACACAACCTAAGTGTCGTTGTTTTGAGCAAGTCATCAGTGATTTTCATTGTAATTGATAGTTGCCTAAATAGTTATCATAATATGAACTGACAAATATATATAGTGCTACAAAGACTCATTTTATGATAATAATAAATAAAAAAAATTTAAAAAGTATATGCTCCCATCTCATATAGTAGAAAGGTGGTTTTAAAAGGGAAACAGGAAAGAATAAGAACAGAGAATCTCAAGTGCATGATAGCTAATGACAAGATCACATAATGGAGGGAAAGGAATCTTACAAAGCGCTCATATGCATGGACATGTCCTGAAAATATGACATCAACCCGAGCTCCATAAAGCAAACCTTCCATGGCCGCCTTCATGTTAACCGATTCAACCTCCCCCTGATGAGCGGTGTTAGAATTGTACCACGGTGCATGGAGGAGCACTACCAACCAAGGTGTCTTTGTCCTATCAACCTTCCTCAAGTCGGATTGCAGCCAGCTATACTGAGCCGAGCTTGGACCAAAATCCGTATACGAGCCCAACATAATGACATGGACACCGGCAACTTCAAACGAATAGTACAAGTTGGAATTGGAGCCACTTTGCTCGAATGGCATGTGCCATCTGGCATTGTAGGAGGTGAAGGGCTGAGAGTGGATCACTGGGATTTTTTCGATCTCGTGGTTGCCTTGTGTGACCATCCACGGCCTCTGGCTAGCGAGGGGCTCGACCAGCCGGCCAAATGAGTCCCAAAGTGGCTGGATTGTATCAGCATATGACAAGTCCCCTGGTAGTAGGAGCACGTCGTAGTTTGATTTTGAAATGTGATCAAGGGTTGAGGTTGTCCAATCCGTTTGCCCCAGATCACCTGAAGATGAAATATGCACAATTGGCTTGAGTCAGACAACTAGCTTGATAGCATGTTGTTATAGAAATGACTAATGTTGAAATGATGAATATTTTGTACTAAATTTGCTTGTCATATCATATGTCATCACTATAATATTAGTGCAATAAAATTCCATTCATTGTACTGGTGCATAGACGATAGATGACATGTAAGGTGCCATGACATGTAAGTCCTGGTGTTACACAATTGAAATATGAATCGTAGTTACAAAACACACGATAGAAGATTGGCAATTGGAATGACTCGATTTGGGATTCCAACTTTAGTAATCAAGTTGGAGAAATACCAATTATCTGTCAAAAAATCAAAGGCCTAGACAAAAAGTGAGACGAGTGGTTCACTTTTCACGGGAAAAAGGGAAGGGAGAGAGTGGTGGTTATTTTCTAAATTGCCATGATCTGAACTTTTCAATTCTGGTTTCAACTTCCAGTAAAGTTATAGACTAGTTTTCTGTCCAAAAATCCAAGGCCTGGACGAAAAAGAGGGAGAAATCATTCATTTTTTCACAAAGTAACACTAGTTATATTCAAAGTTTACACCATCTGAATTTTCAAATTTTGAACAGACTGCTAAGATTTCTCCAATTTGATCACTGAAGATGGAACCCCAAATTCAGCAAATCTAGATTTCGCCAAGCATTTGTTATGGTTTTTCATGTAAACTTTAGTCTGTCGTCTCATGTTACTAAGAGTTAAAATAGGATCAATCCAAATCAGAACAAAATTTGGAAAAATTGAGATTATTGGAGAGAGTGGAAGTTTATTTTCTAAGTATGCACAATCTAAAACTTGAAATTGAGATTTTCCTAACTTCACAGCTAATGCTGGAACCCAAAATTCAACAAATCGAGATTTCGCCTATTCTAAGCATATATATAGTGATTTTTTCATGTAAACTTTAGTTTGCCGTGTCATGCTACAACGATACGTGTTAAAATAGGATCAATCAAAATGAGAACAAAAATGAAAAATTGGCATATTAACAATCTACATATATATACCTGCAAGGGCAAAGTTGATAGGAAATTGAGCAGGGGGTGTTTGGAAACTGAGTTCAGGGTTTGAATCAGAGCCACAACGGTAATAATAGACAGTGCTTGGTTTCAATGGACCAATGACCACATCATGAATTTCACCAGACTCGTACAAAACATATCGGTAAGAAGATGAAGTCCCTTTTGCTGAGAAAGCATAGTTCCCTGGACATGTACCATAGCTGACTGTTGCCGGAGTATTAGCGTCGTCTGTAATCCATGATATTCTCATCTGGTCATTTCCCACCATAGATATGTGCACCTTCATGCAATAAGATAGAAAATCCAGCTCATTAGTTTATGTATGATTCATTATAAATTTAAAAAACATTTTACTATTTCTTTTAAGGGAACCAAATATTGATCGTGTGGGCTGATAGAATGTCAAAATAGTTAGAAGATTATATAATTTTTGTCATATTTGAAAATACTTTTCATACATGTCTTAACGCTTTTTGCATATAAATTGAGGCTAATGATCATTTGTTTAGGCAATCATTAACATTTTTTATGTATAAGTCATGATACCTATATTATACTGGACATCCAAATACCCAAAAGAAAGTACAAACCCAATAATCACTCAACAAGAAAGACCTCTAAACAAAGAAAAAAAATGGAAAAAGAGTTACACATAGGTGTACAGAGTTGAAATTCTAACATTTGTAAGAGCCCTTGGAGCATCTCTAATGGGGTGGCAGGCCAGGTTCAGCCTTCAAGCTTCTAAAGCCACTGCTTTAGGCCACAAATTTTACGAAGGCCCCGAATTTTTGAAAATGATAGCTAAGACCTATATAATTATATATATATGCGAAAAAAGGCTTCACCTATTCAGCAAAGAATGCCTAAAATTGTTATTCCAATGACTAATGTATGACAAATAAATATTGCTTACAAATTTCTTTTACGAACTTATGTGACATCTACATATGAGTAATGATATACAAACTAACAAATTTTACAACCGTTTCTTACTGATATGACATATTTCTTACAAAATTATAACATTTTCTCTATAATATTATTAGATCTCTTTTCAAGTTACAAAATTTTATTACTTAATGATGCATCAGTCAATGAAATAAACACTTGGTAAAAATTATTAGTTTGTATTGCATTTTTTTTTTTTTTTTTCAAATATGTTGTTACATCTAACTATAGAAACGATTACATTTTCATCTTCCTTACTGTTTTGGGATTGATGAGAAAGTTGATAATGAGACAATACAATTTTTGAAGAATTTTTTAGAGTTAATTGAAGTATTAAACTTAGGTTCTTTCCAAATGTATGTATTGTCAACAAAATGGCAAAAAGAAATCAAGTGGATAAATATACTAATAATTCTGGATAAGATACTATTAATTCAAAAAACAACAATGATTCATCCCACTAAAAACATCACCACTAATAGCACTAATGCATTAAAAAAGTAAAACAAAAAAATAAAAAATACAACTCCAAGACTAAAACATCACATCATTAATGGCGGGACCCACTGCCACCTAATTAGTGGGAGCACTAATTAGTGCTCCCAAGCATTTTTCTTCAAAAAAATATATATATTAACAAAACCTGAACATGAAGATTTAATTGGTAATTTTTTTAAGTCAAAAAAAACTAACAAAATAACTTTTAAATAATATTTTTACAATAACATTAAAAATTTATAAAATGCCTCATTTTAACTTCTTGTTTAAAGTCTCAATTTGTCTTGACCAGTCTCAACACAAATGTGTGGTTTATGAAGAGGGAAAATTATTCAATATTTCCGGAATACCACGTGTCCATACTTCTACGCAATCATTATTCATTATGTCCCCTCATGTCCCACAATCACCCAACACAATACCCCACTCACCCACCTTCTCCACCAATCACAATACTATAAAGTATCACGTGTCTATGCTCCGGGATTACTGAATAATTACCCTATGAAGAGAGCATTGGAGATGCTCTTAACCGATGAGCTTGATAAAGAGTTATCCAAAACCTAATGCAGAGCAAACAGAGCATCATCAAAGTAAAGTGAAGCCATCATCATCTGATCATACTACAATCAAGAGTACAGCATAAGTCATGTGCTGTCACATACCTTAGCAAAGTCAGAGGAATCTATCAACCACTTGTATCAGTTAGTTGTTGGTCTGAGTAGTTAGTAAGTTTGTTTGATAGACAGTTTGAGTCAGGTCGTAGTCCATTGTGTATATACAATAGATTGTAATCTTTTTCAGTGAATGAATTCATTTTCTCTTCAGAGCTTGCCCCATAAGTTCACAGTATACCTCAATTAAAGCAAAAATGAATTTGTTGAAGTGTCTCAATAAAATATAATATTTAATTGGTCCAAAACAGAACATCCCTATGTAAAAAGGGAATTGGGGTTGACACAGTAGCTTGCTGAGGGGCTCTTGAGCCTATTTTGATAATTCAAACGGCTCATATTATTGAGTTTATCGAGTTGATCATCCATGCAAAAAAATAAGGTTAATTGGATATTTATAACCTCATAACAAGATTACATTTGTTTTCAAAAAAATAAATGGAAATAAATGGATACAAAAGTTTGATAATTTTTTAAAAAATAATTAGGACATGATCATCGGGCCACGGATGTCAGACTAGTTTAATTTTTTTCATGAATGATATGTTCGACGAACTCTACAATATGAATATTTTTTGATCATCAAAGCCTCACAATAGCAATCCATATATGTTAAAAGTGTAAAGATCCACCCAAAATTTTGAATCCCGGTGTTCTAAAATAATTAAGAGGTATGAGTGTGAACAAATTTGGACTCACTTGAAGCAAATTCCAGCTAAAGATTCAATAAGAAGCTGGAAATTATTCATAAATAAAATGGAGTCTCTCAATTATTAAAAAATAAAAATAATAATAGTAAGTAGGAATCAAATCCAAAACATGAAGCTGCGCCGGACTTTCCTATATTTTTAAATTAGCATTTTATTAAAATCTCATCCAGATTTTTCACTTTGCATATTTTTTTTTTTAAATGAAAAATTTAGACTCCCATTGAGAAGGAAATTTGTGCTGAGATGTTTGGGCCGGGCTAATTCTGGTCTTTGTGGGGGCCATGCTATGGATTGCAAAGTTGCATGGTTTGGGCCATGCAGAGGAGGCCTGGTTGGTCAAATGTGTTGCATGGTTTGATCGGACAGACTTGCTCTGGGTCGTTTTTTTTTGGGCCAACCTACGCCTTATTGGGCCGCGGGTTAAAGTTAGACTGGCTTAGTTGTCCTCATCTAATGTGGTAATCAAGATTGGACCGAGCTATATTCATCTGACTGGCTAAGTGTAAATTGAGCGCATGAATCAGCCGGGCTAGTTTAGGCACTGTGCAACGTTAGGACGTTTGCACACTGCGCTAGCTTTATGGAGAATTCTAAGTAGCTCGGTTAGTGGAAGAGCTAATAAGAATGTAGTTCAATTGCTCGGCTGAAAGCTGTGCAAAGAATTGTGCCATCTCATTTGGTTTGCAGTGAGGAGAGTGTTAAAAGATAGACCATATCCTTTACAAATGTGATTCCTAAGAGGACTTTACGATGAGGAATTAGAGTACTACTAAACTTCTGCCTTGTAAAACTTATAAAGGTTCAAGCCTAACTTAATTCTATATATTGCAATTACTATTCCCAAATTCATAGAATTTTTCCTCCTTACTTGTTTTATTTGCTAACTTAAGCATCGGAGGGATTTCCAACACACACCCGTCAGCTAGCTCACATTTGTGATTTCAGGTCAAATGACGATGTTCGAAGGAGCGCAACCTTAATCAACAAGATTATACAAGTGACGATTATTTCGTGCTTGTACACCCATTATGTCAACTTTTGCTTGAGAAAATCATAGTGCCATTACCTTTACCATTCCTACCTAACAATGGTTGAATTTTGTTTTAAGTATGCTTTGGTTTGGTTTAGTTTATTTTGATTTGTGCAAGAATTGTAATTGGGTATGGCTTCTCTCCATACTCTTACTCTCTATATTTTATTTTTCGGGTTTCATTCTATATCCACAATGATAATTTAAACCGTTCAATTTATAAATCTCACAATGAAGACCATCTGTGCAAAAAATCAGTTTCATCGGATATCAATGAATACATAAACAAATCACTTTTTGTTTTATCAAATGAAATGTTTAAATTTAAACTCACAAATACTGTCTATTTTAAAAAATAAAATGTAATTTATTCATATATTTAATAATATTCGATAAAACTAATTTTTTGTATAATCTATGTAAATTGTTAAAATCATTACAACATATAAGAGTTTTAGAGATCAAATTTTTTAGTATCTAAAAATAAAAAATTTGTTACAAAAGACATTAGGATCAATTTCTATCATCATGAAGATAGTCACTAAAAAGTCATCCAAAAAGTCAAAAATAAGACTTTTAGAGACAAAATTTTGAAAATATCACTAATAAATACATTTTTAAGAACAAAATAATTTGGTCTCATAATGGTTTATTTTTTTAGGCAAAAAATTTGCTTCTAAAAAGATAATAATTCATCACTAATGTTTAATTTTCATTGCTAAAAATATAATATGACACTTTTCGCAACAAAAATATTTGATCCCTAAAAAATAATTTTGCTCCTAAATTTTGGTCTCCAAAATCTAATTTTTTGTAGTGAATTACGTAATAAACGATTTAAAGTATCAATATAAATTTAGAATGAAACTCAAAAAATAAAATATAAAAGTATATGAAGAAAAAAATATAGATCGTAGGGTTGTAAATTTGCCCCGGCCCGAGGCCCGGCCCAGGTTCGGGCCGGGCCATGTCGGGTCTCGCGGGCTCCTATAAAAATTTGACCCGATCCGACCCGGCTCACGAGCCAAAAAATTAGGCCCAGGCACAGGGAGTATTCGGGCCTTGGTCGGGTTGGGAAGCCTAGGCTTAGACACGGGCAGGGCTTGAACATTTTTTTTTTTTTACCAAAATTTTATTTTTTATTTTTTTCAGTAAAAATAACACTAGATCTCAGACGGATTGGGCTTCAGGCAGGACTTTGAATGAGCTTTGAGTGAGCTGATGAGTCGGGTCACAAGCCGACTCAGACGAGACAGGCACACGAACCGATCTAAGCTTCAAAATAATAGCCCATATCTAAAGTCCCGAGCTAACTTGGGCCCAAACCTAATCAGACCAGACTCACTCCAAACTACAGACGAGCTTTGGCCGTCCACATGGCGCACTCACTTTTACCCTCCTAGAGCATTAGTCATTGTCATTTATTATAGGGTTTGGTGTGTCGTGGCATCCAACACAATTACGACTCGTGAGATGAACCACACAAAAGTCAATACGTGTTGACACAATAGTCTCTTCAAGTTTCCATCAAATCATGCTCATGTGGGACATATGCACCGAATTATCTAAAGGATCATGCTTGCATTATGTGGGAAATCCGACTGAAGCAGTTGGGTCCTGAAATCTATTAGGGATTCAATTTTAATGATTTAAATTATTTAATATATAAAATTTATTGAATATTTTATTTTTATAAAAAATTATGTTAATCTGATGTTAATAATCACTTGATCAGATTATATTTTTATTAATGATAAATATGATTTTAAAAATAAATTATTGATAAATATATATTCTGATCAAATAATTACTGATATCCAATCAACGTGATTTTTTTATAAGAATGAAATATTTGACGAGCTCTACACTTTGAACAGTTCAGATCATCAAAATTAGACCCGTGATAGACTCTACGAGCTCAAACAGTACCATCTAATTTACTTTGTGGACTGAAGAGAATCAAAATCCTTATTTAAACCCAATTGAATTCTTAGGATTTAACTATTCCGGAATGTTTTTGCTGTTTAGAGAGTGATTATTTTAATTAATTTTTTTTTTACAAAAAAATATAAAAAATAAAAAATAAAAAAATAATAACAACAATGATTTAGACTACTAAAAAATACACCACTAATAGCACTAATACATTGAGAATGGTAAAAAAAAGAAGAAAAAAAAGAAATAAGGCATAGAAAGTGGGCGGGATCCACTGCCACATCATTAGTACTCATTCTAGTGCTCCATTTCTAATGCATTTTTCAAATAATAATGTGATTAGATGTTTTAATTTTTTTTTAATAATTATTGTAACAAAAAGACAACACAGCAAAGTAGCCTCAGCATCACCACCAGTACATCTTACCATGTTCAATCATTATAAATTATTTCTCATTTTCTATAATCAAAAAGTTCACAAGAACTCTAAACTAAAAAGAACACGAAGAATGTAAAATTTCTTGGTGCCATACCCATTAGATCTGAAAAATAACAATAATAATAATAATAAATAAATAGATTACAATATTTACAATTCGGGCAATTTGGGTTTAACTCAGGTCGAGCTTGGGCAGGCAACCTCGGGTTACAATTCAGGCCTGGACAATAAATAATAGATTACAATAACTTCCTTTAAAATTTAAAAAAAAAAGAAATTCATCAACATTTTATAAATTTAAAATAAATATACTAAGTTTTCTTAAAATTTTAATTCTCATAACCCTTAACCCTTTTCATCTAAATTCATTAATAGTATAGATTAAAAAAATAATATTTTTTTCTCTCTTTTACAATAAAATTTAATATGTGCACATCTATATGCATTACTCCCAATAATTTTAGCTAGTAAAAACTAAAACTTATGTTTAAACTTGTAAATTTTATTATATATTTTTTAAACTTCGGAGAAAACAGATCTGTTGCCTCCCACCTTAAGAATTGAGATCCTTCCAGCCATTCTCTACTATCCTCTCTCCTTGTAACGGTTTAGATTCATCCAAGAGAGGAGCTAATGGTTTAGATCACTCTATTAAAAAATAAAAAATTAAATTTATGTTTCTAATAGAATGATCCGAACCGTTGGATCTTCTCTAGAGTAATCTGGATCATTACAAGGAGGGACTGGAGAGAGTGACTGGAAAGGATCTCAATTCCCATTTTACAGCAAAACTCAAAAAGTGCTTGCATTCTGGACATTTAAAATATAAATAAAATTATATAAAATATATTATATTCTTGTCTAAAATTTCAAGTAAAGAAGATCAAAGAGCAAAATTTCTGGATAAAATTTGTGTGACAGTAACAATTTTTTTTCTTTTCTAAATTAAAATTTGTGGAAGAAAAATTCGAAAGTTTTATGATTAGAGAAACACAGCGGATACATAATTCTCAAATATGTTGATTTATAGTTCACAAGAAATAATACCTGTTGTGGAGAAGTTGAATCGAGTTCCTCCGCCAGCCGGACAAAGCGGGACGGCCGGGGCAGTGGTCTATCATAAGAAACGCCACAACTCAACATTCCGGCGAAGGCCAACATGACAAACATCAACCAAACCGCCATTGCAAGCAACCACAGAGAAGCTTATTGAAGGAGAAATGAGAGAATATGACAAATGTTTTAAGATAGAACTGTCAGATTTATAATGGATGTGAGGGACTTTGCCTTGTACGTAAGATACTCAGAATTATACTCTGCTCCCAAATATGAATTTTTATTTGAGAGATTCTCTTATTTGGTGCATTCTTATCTGATTAGAAAATTATACAATAGTTTCGGATTATTAGGTGACGATATTCTTTCATCAATCACCATTTATTACGACTTTTCATATTTCTCAATAATTACTTATCATAAATAAGGAGATGGGTCATTGCTGTGCTAAGGTGTATTATGAATTTATTTTTATGATCTGAATCGTTTATTTTGTAAGATTTGTTGAGTTCTTCATGCTTATCAAAAATCATATTAATCGGATATCAATAACTATATAATCGAATTGAATATTTTTTATACTATTTCTCAAAAGAAAACTTATTGTTTATTTTTTTGGTTATCGATCATATAATTATTAATATCCAATTAATATGATTTTTGAAAAGCATATAGTACTCAACAAATTCTACAAAATGAACGGTTCGGATCATAAAAATAAACCCATAATACACTTCAAATTGAGACACAACAGTCACTGCTGTGTTAAAGGTACAACAATGATCCTAATTTTTCATAAATAATTAATACTCTATATTCTTTACTAATCATATGATTATGAAATATTACGTGACTGCATTCTCAAACTATCTAATAATTAGGGCTGAGCAAGTGATCCGTGAAATCCGTAATCCGATCCAGTCCAGTCCAATCCGATAGGTTTGGATTGGTTTTTTGAATCCGCGGTTTGGTTCCGGATTGAAGAATTAAAAATCCGTAGTTTACGGATTGGTTCCGGATTGAACCCCACGGTTCCGGATTGGAACTGATCCGAACCGTATACAAATAGTCTATATTTTTATTATACATCCTCCCCAATAGTATCTTCTCTTAATTCTATATAAAATTTAAACTCAAACCTAAAACCGTATAATATTTTCTTTTATTACTCTTGTTTGTTGGTTTTAGTTTTAAGTTGTAATGGTTTAAATACTTATAGTGAAACCAATTTTTTTATGGTTGTTTAAATTTTAGAACAGTATGTCGCTATTATAGAAAAATATGTTGCTATTGTGGAACTAATATAGCGCTATGTTTATATTTTTATAAAATTAAAGTGTTATAAATATATTTTTGTTATTTAATTATGTGAATCCGTGGTCCTAAACCGATCCAATCCGTATTTAAATGGATTGGTTTGGATTGGTTCCATGATTTAAACGGATTGGATTGGTTCCAATTTTTTAGGAACCGTAAATAACGGATTGGTCCTGATTTTATCCCAATCCGATCCAATCTGGACCATACTCACCCCTACTAATAATCACTTTTTATACTATTAAAAATATATTGAGACAGATAAAAGGATCAATTTGGGAGAAAAATTTTAGGCTTTTCTTGTACATATCCCTGAATGCTAAATGTGAAAGCAAGTCTCACAATTGTAGCGTGATATGACGATGATAATGACATTTCTTTTTGTCTGGGGTTGTTGTTGGGTGTTAGGGTTGCGGATGCTTTTATTTATTTTCTTGTTTGGATTTTTATAATGGGCTTATCCTTGTTATTGGGGTGTTCGACAAGAAGATTGGATTAAAATAATTTATTAAAAAATAAAATAAATTAAATAATTAATGAAATAAAATGACACATATAATTTATAATTATTTTACCTTTTATTCTCGCAATCTTTAATCAACTATAAAAAAGAAAGAAAAATAAAAGTCAATTAACTTTTCAAATATAATTATTTTAGTCAGGTTAAAATTACTAAAAAATTAAATAGTCAACTTCCTAAACAAGGCCAGTATTGTTCTAAGGGTAAATTAATTAGACTTCTATATTTAGATTGGATTTTATTTTGATTCCTTTTTTTTAATTATTATTAGTGATTTTTTATTTATTATTTATTATTTTTGCATTTTTGGTTAAATTACAATATCAAAACTTGCCATGTGAGTAATACCGAATATTTTTCTTGCCTCATTCACATTTCTACACATTCATTAAAATCTTATTTTAATCATTGTATTTTTCACGTAATCTCTTTTGTCTTCATCACATCATTTAATTTCTATCAACCTCATTAACACTAAATAGATAGAAAGAAATAATTGTCATAATTAAAAAATTTAAATTTAAAATGAGATTTTAATAAAAATACAATAATGCCAAAGCTAATTAAATCTTGTTCTAAATATAAATGATGCTATATAAATAAAATTTTCATATAAATTAGTCTTTGTGATACTTTTATTTTCAATCAAAATAAATCAAGATCTTTGGTTTACTGGTTGTGTAATATTACTTTGTGGTGTGTGTGTGAGGTGTTTATTTCTCTCCCATCACATGGTTATATATAGCCAATAGTGATTTTTTTTTTTTTAATAGATGTTGCTGTGTTAAGGTGTATTATGGACTTGTTTTTATGATCTGAATGGTTTATTTTGTAAGATTTGTTGAGTTCTTCATGCTTATCAAAAATCATATTAATCGGATATCAATAACTATATAATCGAATTAAATATTTTTTACGCTATTTCTCAAAAGAAAACTTATTGTTTATTTTTTTGGTTATCGATCATATAATTATTAATATCCAATTAATATGATTTTTGATAAGCATAAAGTACTCAACAAATCCTACAAAATAAACGGTTCGGATCATAAAAATAAACTCATAATACATCTCAAATTAAGACACAATAATCACTACTGTGTTAAAGGTACAACAATTATCCTAATTTTTCATAAATAATTAATACTCTATATTCTTTACTAATCATATTATTATGAAATATTACGTGACTGCATTCTCAAACTATCTAATAATCACTTTTTATACTATTAAAAATATGTTGAGACAGATAAAAGGATCAATTTGGGAGAAAAATTTTAGGCTTTTCTTGCACATATCCCTGAATGCTAAATGTGAAAGCAAGTCTCACAATTCTAGCGTGATATGACGATGATAATGACATTTCTTTTTGTCTGGGGTTGTTGTTGGGTGTTAGGGTTGGGGATGCTTTTTATTTATTTTCTTGTTTGGATTTTTATAATGGGCTTATCCTTGTTATTGGGGTGTTTGATATGAAGATTGGATTAAAATAATTTATTAAAAAATAAAATAAAATAAATAATTATTGAAATAAAATGACACATATAATTTATAATTATTTTACCTTTTATTCTCGCAATCTTTAATCAACTATAAAAAAGAAAGAAAAATAAAAGTCAATTAACTTTTCAAATATAATTATTTTAGTCAGGTTAAAATTACTAAAAAATTAAATAGTCAACTTCCTAAACAAGGCCAGTATTGTTCTAAGGGTAAATTAATTAGACTTCTATATTTAGATTGGATTTTATTTTGATTCCTTTTTTTTAATTATTATTAGTGATTTTTTATTTATTATTTATTATTTTTGCATTTTTGGTTAAATTACAATATCAAAACTTGCCATGTGAGTAATACCGAATATTTTTCTTGCCTCATTCACATTTCTACACATTCATTAAAATCTTATTTTAATCATTGTATTTTTCACGTAATCTCTTTTGTCTTCATCACATCATTTAATTTCTATCAACCTCATTAACACTAAATAGATAGAAAGAAATAATTATAGTATACAAGATTGACTGTCATAATTAAAAATTTTAAATTTAAAATGAGATTTTAATAAAAATACAATAATGCCAAAGCTAATTAAATCTTGTTATAAATATAAATGATGCTATATAAATAAAATTTTCATATAAATTAGCCTTTGTGATACTTTTATTTTCAATCAAAATAAATCAAGATCTTTGGTTTACTGGTTGTGTAATATTACTTTGTGGTGTGTGTGTGTGAGGTGTTTATTTCTCTCCCATCACATGGTTATATATGGCCAATAGTGATTTTTTTTTTTTTAATAGATGGCAAACAAGAGCTATTAGTGGTTGTTCGGTTTGAATTTGGAGATTTTAACTTTCTAATTATTATTATGCAAGTGATTTATTTGGTATAATATTATTCATATTTGTTATTACTTTTCCATCAAAATATAAAAATAATTAACTATTTAATAATTTTTAAAAAGGACATTTATTCTTAAATGATTTTTTTCCTACTTATATTTCAATTAGTTCAAATTATTTTATTATATTTTAATAAGTCCTATGTGTAACAATATTTTAAAAATCGGATCGGTGAACAAACTGGAAAAGAGATCGGGTGGACGAGTCATCGGTTCAACTATCGGATTGAACCGGAATCGAACCGTGACGTAATAAATAAATTAAAATTATATTTAAATAAAAATATAAATTAAAAATATTAAAAATATTAAATTATCTTAAATATTTCTCCTAATATTTTTTTTACTAAAAAATATAATAATATATTTTAAAATATTATTTTTACCATTTAATGGCCCTTTCTCCTCTTATTAAATGCCCTCTATTTTACCCATAAAATTGGTTCCTTTTCCCAACAAACAAAACAATAGTAGCTCCAATCTCCAATCTTTCTGGTCTCAAAGGAGATGAAAGTGGAAGAAAAGAACAGAGAAAAAGAGCAAAACTTTCCCTTTTACCAAACAAAAGAGAGAAAGTGAGCTTGAATTTTTTTTTCCTCATTTGGATTCCTTCACTTTGATCTATCACGCTCTCTGTAACTCTGCTCCACCATTTTTGTTTTTTCGATTTGGGTTTGTAACGCCGAGCGAAGAGGTTAGTGGGTTTATTTCACTGTCTCTAGTCTCTCTCTACAATATCTAGTTAGATGGCTGCTTTGGAAGATCAACAACGAATAAGAAAAATAGATCTGATTTATTTTTTTTTAATATATATATAAGCAAACCGGCTCGGTTCAATTAACCTGTGAACGGGTCGACCGGTTAAATCACCGGTTTCACCGGTTCTCTATAAGTACACCGGTTTTTCTATTTGAACGGTTTAAGAGGGTCAATCGGACCAGAACCTCACTCAGTCACCGGTTCAACCGGTCGGTCCAGTCCGGGTTTCAAAACCTTGATGTGTAATACCCCCAAGTTATTTAAATTTGACATAATTAATTACAAATCATACCATACAAGTTAA